CTTGTCCTCGCGTACGTCGGCGCGCATCAAGAGCAGTTCGAGCTCTCGGAAGTATTCTTCCACTGTCCTCGCACCTTGTCGAATTCCTTGCAACGCGTCATGGAGCTCGCGTTGGTAATAACCTGGAACGAACCGCTCTCTCATCAAACCACGCAGCTCCTCCCAAGTCGCCACAGGTGGTTGATGATTTTGCCGGCGACGAAGCTGTAAACGTTCCCACCATTGAGCGGCATAGTCCGAAAACTCGTACGTGATCATGGCCAGCTTCTGTTGTTCGGTGAATTGCCCACACTGGAAGAACAGAATGATTTTCCGTTCCCAATCAAGGTACGTAGCTGCGTTCAATGTTCCCTGAAAAGCTGGAATTGTCAATTTGATCCCATGAGGAATCACAGCCTCTGTTTCTTGCTCTCTTCTCTGAAAATCGCGAGTTCCGCGATTACGGCGTCCGGGCTCGGAGTTGTGGACTACCAACTGCTGCTCTAACTCCGCAATCCGAGCTAATATCTCCTGGTTCCCTAGCTCCTGGTCGTCCCCTGCTTCTCCGCCGCGAGGAGCTTCCCTTGTGCGACCTGCCTCTGGTAACGCTTGAGACAGAGTGTCGAGCCTCTGTCCTTCCTGCTCCAATTGGTGCTCAATTTTGTCAAACTGAGCCTGGAATAACGTCCTCATCTGCGCCGTAATAGTTTGTAGGAATTCCGTTGTATTAAACTGTCCCGACATCGCGATTTCTTCCTCCTGGTTTGGCTCGTCGAAATCGACCCCTTCCTTTTGTCGAACAGCAGGGTCTCGCTCAACTGGGCCTTTGGACCTCGTCCAAATCGTCGTTCCCGCAATGTCGTCCTTTGTCCTGTCCACTGAGGTGAACCAGGCTCTGACACCACTTGATACGAGCCAAGTCAGAGCTTGAACTCTCAATTACGCAGCGAAACAAGAATGGTAGTGTGATGATGGGTTTTGGACTAGTCGAATAGGGTTTTGGCGGATAAAAGGGACCAAGCAAGCAACTTCAACACTATGGGGAAGAGGCTGGTTTGGGAAGAAGAACACCCCGAGATCAAAGGTGATGGATTTGATCTCGAAGTCTGCAAGTCCAGGATCTCGATCCAATACCAAATTCAAGCACTCGTGCTCAAGAAAACTCCTCGGAGTAACTTTGATTCAACTCAATGATAACGTGTTCTTTACAATGGATGACAAAGCTATTTATAGCCAAAATAACATAACCTAATCCTATTAAAACAATGAAAACGAATTCAAGTGCAACAAGGAAAGAAATTAACACAAATAATCAAAACTTGCACACTAAGTAAGCTGTCCCAAAAACAGTCCTTGATGTCAACTTCGTGGTTCTGGAAATCGGTTTTCTGGGTTGAGTCGAGCTCAACCAATTCCTTCCCTAGGTTTAGAAAGTCTTGCCCTTCCATTCCCAACTCCAAGCTCCAGCTGGTCATGCCCCAAACTCCTTGAATCCGAGCTCAAAGTTGGTACCTCAAACTGCTTCCCTGCCTTAGCCAAAAACTGGCAGATTCCAGAGTGCATGATAGGGTTTTGATGGCTTTGGAAAACAACCCTCCTGACCTTCTTTCCACAATCCAAATGCATCAACCCATCAACAAACATCCAGGGTTCAAAATAAGACCCTAACCTTGCATTTCCAATGAGAGGTTTGAGAGAAATCGCCCTCCAAAGTACCCTTCCCAAAACTGTCTCAACACTTAGAAAATTTCCAGCCAAGTTTGTATTAACTTGACCCGATCTTTGAACGTTTTGTTTGAGATGATTCAAGGGTGGAATTGAGATCATATCACATTTCCAGTTAGCACTTCTGTTCATCCTACTTTGTTTGGATTGCTTCATGTAGACATTTGGGGCCCTTTAAGTACCACTTCTTACAATGGTTTTAATTATTTTTTGACCATTGTTGATGACCTAAGTAGATGTGTGTGGACCTATTTGATGAAATCTAAGGATGAGTCTAGACTGTTACTGCAGTCTTTTTGCATTATGGTGAAAAATCAGTTTAACAAGGATGTTCAAATCATAAGAACAGACCAAGGGATGGAATTCCATATGAATGATTTTTATAGAAATCATGGGATTGAGCATCAGATGAGTGTGGCTTATACCCCACAGCAAAATGGGAGAGTGGAAAGGAAGCACCAGCATCTCTTGAATGTGGCAAGAGCTCTTAAGTTCCAGTCTGGTCTTCCTCTAACTTATTGGAGTGAATTTATTCTTCATGCTGCCTATCTGATCAACAGAATCCCTACTCCTATCTTAAACAATCTGAGCCCTTATGAGAAGTTGTATGGAGTTCCACCTGATTACAGTTCTTTGCAAGTTTTTGGCTGTCTGGTGTATGCTTCTACAGCAGGTCCACACAGAACTAAGTTTTCCCCTCGATCCAAACAATGCTTTTTCTAGGAATTCCTGCAGGAATTAAAGGATTTAAACTGCTAGACCTTGAAAGCAAACGTGTTTTCTGCTCAAGGGATGTTGTCTTTCATGAAAACATCCTGCCTTACTCTAGCCATTCTTCTACTTCCTCACCTGCTCCCATTCCTGCACCTATTACAACATCTCCTTCTTCTACACCCTTTATTTTTTCACCTACACTTTCCCCCAGTACCAATTTCCCAGCATTCACTTCTGAAACCAATTATACCTCTCCTGAGAATCCACAGTCTGAGGGGGGGCACACAGTCTCCCTCTTCTCCTTCTTCATCTACACATTCTTCTCCTACTTTTCAAACTCCTCAAACCTCTCAAACTCATCCTGTGGATTCACAACCCACTGTTTTCTCCCCTACTCCCATTTCATCTCCCATTCCTCAACCTAGTTCTATTTCCTCTTCTCCATTTTCTCCAATACCACTTAACAGCCCCTCTTATTCTCCATCTCATGCTCAGTTAAGAAAGTCAACCAGGACAATTAGACCTCCTAATTGGCACAAAGATTACCACATCACTCACCCTATCCACAAGGCACTCGCTTACACTCATTTGCTACCTAAACATCAACATTTCATAAATAGCTTGACTGCACACAGAGAACCAGCTTTCTTCCAAGAGGCAATGCAGGACCCTCATTGGAACAATGCAGTTCAAGAAGAGTTGAAGGCCTTAATTGATAATGGAACATGGGAGATCAAAGATCTGCCAATTGGTAAAAGACCAATAGGTTGCAAATGGGTATTCAGGGTGAAGCTGTATTCAGATGGATCAGTTGAAAGGTACAAAGCAAGACTGGTTGCTAAGGGTTATACTCAAGTGTATGGCATAGACTACTGTGATACCTTCTCACCAGTAGCTAAGCTTAGTTCAGTAAAAACTTTACTTGCAGTTGCAGCAGTACAAAATTGGCACTTACATCAAATGGATGTAAGCAATGCATTCTTGAATGGAGATTTAACAGATGAGGTTTACATGGAAATACCTCCTGGTATGGATTTGGGAGTAGACTGCAAAGGAAAGGTTTGCCATTTGAAGAAGTCATTATATGGTTTATAACAGGCAAGCAGGCAGTGGTATACCAAACTTACTGAAAGTCTACTGAAACATGGATTCCAACAATCTTCTTCTGATTACTCTATTTTCACAGCACAAGTGCTTGGAGCATTGGTGGTTCTCATTGTTTATGTAGATGATATTATGATTGGTAGTGTTAGCCTGGAATCCATAACAGAAACAAAGAAAATTCTACAAGGAGAATTCAAGATGAAGGATTTAGGGGAGTTAAAATATTTTCTTGGACTTGAAGTTACAAGGGGGGTCAGAGGTATTACAGTTTCACAAAGGAAGTATTGCTTGGAGCTTTTGGCAGAGTCTGGATTTGAAAATTGTAAACCTGCAGCCACTCCTATCTATGTCAAAGAAGTATTATCAGCAACAGGTGGTACTCCTTTGATTGATGTTGCAGGATACAAACATCTAGTTGGACAGTTGCAGTATCTGACAACTACCAGACCAGACATTGCATTTGCTGTGCAACAGCTATGCACATATCAGGATAGTCCAACATCACTACATTTGAGAGCTCTTCACAGAGTTCTTAGGTACCTTAAGGGTTCACCAGGGCAGGGACTTCTTTACCCTAAGGATACCAAGTTGGAATTGAAAGGATTCAGTGACTCAGACTGGGCCACTCGTCCAGACACAAGGAAATCTATAACTGGATACTGCACCTTTCTTGGTTCAGGAATTATAACATGGAAAAGCAAGAAACAGAAGACAGTGTCTAGATCTTCTTCAGAGGCAGAGTACAGAGCTTTGGACAGTTTAAGCTGTGAGATTGAATGGTTGATCAGATTATTGAAGGATTTTGGAGTGCAGCATCCTCAAACAGTCAAAGTGTTCTGTGATAATCAGTCAGCAATCCACATTGCTGAGAATCCAGTGTTTCATGAAAGAACTAAACACATAGATGTGGATTGCCATGTGATAAGGGAAAGAGTGCAATCAGGATTGATCAATTTACATCACATTTCAACAGAAGCACAACCTGCAGATATCTTTACTAAGAGCTTGTCAGTGGATCGATTTGCTTCTCTGTTGTCCAAGCTGGGAGTATACAACATATACTCGCCAGCTTGTGGGAGGGTAACAGAGAGGCATGATGATGATGATGATTCTCCTACAACAAAGAGTTGCTTAGCAGCAGCAACAAAGGAGAAACGCTCTGCTCTGGAACTGAAGAACAAGATGAAGAAGGAAGAGCAGAGTGATACGACAGCGTTCAAGATAAGAAGGAATGACCGAAATGATACGGCGACGTTGAAGATTAAAGAAAGCCAAAGACGCTGCGTTTCGTCAACAGACGAGTGTTCATAATTTACTGTATATGCTTACACGTGTATAGCTCAGATAGGTAGATTTGGTTGTTAGTTTTATTTAACCGTTAACAAACAGTGATTAGAGAACCCTCTGTATATATATATTTGATTCTGCATCAATGGAAAAGCTCAGAGAGCAAATTCCCCAGATCTGGACTTTCTTCTCATAGTCTCCACATTGAAGAAACTCGTTATACAAGGTCGCTCGCCGGCCGGGGACAGGAAGAACTTAACCTGACGTCAAAGTGCGGCGATCGAAATCTCCACGCCATCTGTCGGAATCTGATGTGATAGGTAAATCATTGGAGCATCCGGATTCAGCAATTCCCACCTGCAAGCATACACATTATTAATCAATCAATTGTCACCACAAATTACATGATGATGATGAACCAAAAACCATCTCTATTGCACTAATAATTACTTGTATCCCGTGGACAAGTGATGGAGAAAGATTGCAATTTGTATCCTGGCCAGCATATTTCCGGCGCAGATTCTCGACCCTCCTCCAAACACTTGGTACGCTCCCGGGGTCATTGGTACCTTATCAATTGATCCACCAGATATCATCAACATCGGTTTAGTATTTTGTTATAATCTTCTAGCTTGTCAAAAAACGTGAGTTTAGTATACGAGATGCTTACATCCCATCGGTCAGGGTTAAAGCACATGGGATCCTGGAAATTTTCGGGATTTGTATGCGAATATCGGAGCCAAAGCGCGACGTTCCAGTTTTTTGGAATTCTGTAGCCTGTAGGTGGATAAAATTTCGAAACCTACTTAAAAAAAATCTCAATTGAAGGGTAGTTATAAAATGAATTAAAAAAAAACATTTTTATGATGCTTAGTTATAACTTATTAGTACCTTTGTACTCCACATCTTTCGTGACCGATCTGAAAATAAAAGCTGCAATGTTGGCCATCCTCATTGTTTCTTCCACCACCTGATCATAAAAGTCAATTACAAAAAATCTACGGTTAGTTGGGAAAGTTACGACAATGCAAGTAGGGATGGCAATCAAATCCATGTTCATGGGTATCCGACCGTTCCCGATTCAGTCAACGCGGAGAATTTCCGCATTTACCGGGTATGGGTAAAACCCTCAAAAAGTTTGATGAGTATGGGGTGGGTATGATTTTAGCCTCCCCAGCCCCAGCCCCATACCCGCCCCCACCAAAAATATTTCTTCACATATGAAAAATATATAGTAGAAATGCAATTCAATGGTCACTCAAATCAAAATCTAACTTCTTTCTCTCAATTTTCCCTTCGCTCTTTCACTTTTTTTCCCTTGTTAACAAGATTATATTAGTTAATTATTACTTAATAGATGTATTAGCATAGAGAATAATGATTTGTATGCCATTGTACTCTACTCTGATTTGTATGCCATGTTTTCTCTCAATAATGATTTGTCTTGCGCACAGTTCTTGTGATTATTAGCTTGATGGTCATTATATATACTTGATCAGTAGGTTTGATCAGTAGGTATTTATATATATGAAGCCAATAGATGGCAACGAGGGGCAAAGAATGAATTGGAATTTAATCAGTAGGTTTGATGATTGATCAGTTAAATAATTATTATAATAATTATGTTATGATTAATTTGTTGATCAGTTGCTTTGACTTTAGTTAAATTATATTTTTGATATCTATGTTATGATTAATTTGTTAGTCACCAAAGTGGCCAAATTAGAAGGTTTATAGATATCAAGTTGAATCAAGTTCAACTACTAATGTTTATGTGATGCTTTAAAGTTGAAGTTCGTGATTATAAAATATTTTCGAATCGCCCAAAGGTTGATTGCTCGTTTTATAATTCATGAACATTATTGTGGTAAATTGATGTGCTTGGTTAGATATATTTAGTATATCCAAAGATTGCAAGTATATCTAATTTGAGTATGTCTATCACCAATTATATGATTATTTTGAGCATCAATTACGATTATTTATCGCATATATATTGTTGTTTTGCCCAAAGGTAGCACCAATATATGTTTTATGTTTATGCTTACGAATCTGTATTATAGTTTATGCTTATTACCCAAAGCATTAATGTGTGAGTACATGTTATATATGTTTGCAGCATCTGTTCCTGTTTCTCTTCATTCGCAAGCCACGTCTGTTGTTAAGTTTAATGGCCTCAACTTCTCTGAATGGGCTGAACAGGTTCAGTTTCACCTCGGTGTTCTGGATCTTGATTTGGCACTCTTAAGTGAGAAACCTGCTGCTCTTACTGATGCTAGCAGTGCTGAGGAAAAGTCTTTCCATAAAGCTTGGGAAAGATCTAACAGACTAAGCCTAATGTTTATGCGAATGACTGTAGCAAACAACATTAAGTCAACTTTCAATGATACCGAAAGTGCTAAGGAATTTATGAATTCCGTGAAAGAAAGCTCTCAATATGAGTCTGCTGATAAGTCGCTTGCTGGGACACTCATGGGTACGCTAACCACCATGAAGTTTGATGGTTCTCGTACCATGCATGAGCATATCGTCGAAATGACGAACATTGCAGCAAGACTAAAGACCATGGGAATGGAAGTGAATGAAAATTTCCTAGTAACGTTCATCCTTAATTCCTTACCTCCAGAGTATGGCACATTCCATGTGCATTACAATACTCTAAAGGATAAATGGAATGTGCATGAGTTACAAAACATGCTCATTCAAGAGGAAGCAAGGCTTAAGAAACCAGGAAATCATTCTGCCAATCTTGTTGGTCATAAAGGAGCTGGAAAGAAGCCATGGAACAAGAATGGGAAGGGCAAGGAAGGACTATCAAAGCTTAATGAGTCATCTGCCAAAATCCACAAGAAGGAACCAAGTAAGAATATATGCCGCTTCTGTAAGAAAGCTGGACATTATCAGAAAGATTGCTTGAAAAGAAAGGCATGGTTCGAAAGAAAGGGTAAGCCTAGTCCTTCAGTATGTTTCGAATCAAATTTAACTGAGGTTCCTTATAATACTTGGTGGGTTGACACTGGTTGTACCATTCATGTTTCCAAAACGATGCAGGGATTCCTTACGACCCAAACCATAAGGCAAAATGAGAAGTTCATCTATATGGGAAACCGAGCCAAAGTTCCAGTTGAAGCTATTGGGACTTATCGTTTGGTTTTAGATACTGGTCATCATTTGGACCTTGTCAATACCCTTTATGCTCCTTCTATTTCTCGTAATTTGGTTTCGGTGTCTCAACTAGATAAGACTGGGTATTTTTGGAACATTGGAAATGGTTCTATTAGTTTGTTCAAACAGAATGTTTTATTGGGTTCTGGTACCCTTGTTGATGGTTTGTACAAACTAAAGCTTGATACCCTATTCGCTGAGACTCTCTTAACCTTGCATCATAATGTTGGTATTAAACGTGGTTTGTTTGATGAATCCTCTGCTTACTTGTGGCATAAACGGTTGGGTCACATATCCAAAGAAAGAATGGAAAGGTTAGTAAAGAATGAAATCCTTCCTCATTTGGCTTTTACTGACCTTGGAATTTGTGTTGAGTGTATTAAAGGAAAACACACAAAACACACACTTAAGAAAGCAGCCACAAGAAGCTCACAGCTCCTTGAAATTATACACACTGATATTTGTGGGCCTTTTGATGTTCCATCACTTGGTGGAGAAAAGTATTTCATTACCTTTATCGATGATTTTTCACGTTATGGATATATCTATTTGCTGCATGAAAAATCTCAGTCGGTAGATACCCTTGAGGTGTTTATCAATGAAGTTGAGAGGCAATTAGAAAGAAAGGTGCAAGTTGTCAGATCAGATAGAGGTGGAGAATATTATGGAAAATATGATGAAAGTGCACAGTGCCCTGGTCCATTTGCTAAGTTCCTAGAAAGACGTGGTATTTGTGCTCAATACACTATGCCAGGAACACCGCAACAAAATGATGTTGCAGAAAGGCGGAATCGTACTTTAATGGATATGGTTAGGAGCATGTTAAGCAACTCATCTTTACCCAAATCATTGTGGATGCACGTTTTAAGGACCGCTATGTATTTGTTAAACAGGGTTCCTAGTAAAGCAGTTCCTAAGACACCTTTTGAACTGTGGACGGGAAGGAAACCCAGTTTAAGGCACCTGCATGTTTGGGGTTGCCCAGCGGAAGTGAGAATATATAATCCACATGAAAAGAAACTGGACTCACGAACAATCAGTGGTTTCTTCATTGGTTATCCAGAAAAATCTAAGGGGTATCGATTTTATTGCCCTAACCATAGTACAAGAATTGTTGAAACTGGAAATGCTAGGTTCATTGAGAATGTTGAAGTTAGTGGGAGCTTAGAGCCACGCAATGTGGAAATTCAAGAAGTTAGAGTGCAAATATCCCTGCCTCTACCCTCTTCTCAAGTTGTTGCTCCTGCACATGTTGAGCATGATAACGATTTGCAGGAACAACAAATGAACGGTCAAGCACCACCTAATATTGCTATTGAGAATGAACCTAACATAGATGAACCACAAGAAATTGCATTAAGAAGGTCTACAAGAAATCGAAGGCCTGCAATTTCTGATGATTATGAGGTTTATCTTCACGAGTTGGAATCTGATTTAGGACTCTATCATGATCCAGTTTCATTTTCACAAGCCATGGAAAGTGAGCATTCTGATAAATGGTTAGCTGCCGCGAAAGAAGAGATGAAATCTATGTATAAAAATGAAGTTTGGGACCTTGTTGATTTGCCTGAAGGTTGTAAAAGAGTTGGTAATAGATGGGTTTGGAAGACCAAACACGACTCTAATGGCAATATCGAAAGACACAGGGCCAGACTTGTTGCCAAAGGTTTCACTCAGAAAAGTGGTGTTGACTATAAAGAGACATTTTCACCCGTCTCTAAGAAAGACTCCTTAAGGATTATCATGGCAATGGTAGCTCATTATAATCTAGAGCTCCATCAGATGGATGTGAAAACCGCATTTCTGAATGGGAATTTAGATGAAGCAGTCTATATGGATCAACCTGAAGGTTTTGTGGTTGAGGGAAAAGAACATATGGTGTGTAAATTAAAGAAGTCAATATACGGACTTAAACAAGCTTCCCGACAATGGTATATTAAGTTCAATGATACCATTACATCTTTTGAATTTAAGGAGAACATCGTCGATCGATGTATATATCTGAAGATTAGTGGGAGTAAGTTTATAATTTTAGTTCTGTATGTTGACGATATCTTGCTTGCTACTAATGATCTTGGTTTATTACATCAAACCAAGGAGTTTCTCTCTAAGAACTTTGAAATGAAGGATTTGGGTGAGGCATCCTATGTGATTGGAATAGAAATATTTCGTGATAGATCACAAGGACTGTTGGGATTGTCTCAGAAATCATACATTAACCGGATCCTAGAGAGATACAACATGGCTGAATGCTCTGCAAATGTCGCTCCAATTCAGAAGGGAGATAAATTTAGTCTCAAACAATGTCCAAAGAATGAATTGGAACGCAAGCAAATGGAACACATTCCTTATGAATCTATTGTTGGAAGTTTGAATTATGCACAAACTTGTACCAGACCAGACATCAGTTTTGCTGTCGGAATGCTGGGCAGGTATCAAAGTAATCCAGGAGTAGATCATTGGAAAGCTGCAAAGAAGGTACTAAGGTATCTGCAAGGAACAAAAGACCACATGCTCACCTTTAGGAGATCTGATCACCTTGAGGTGATTGGATATTCAGATTCAGATTATGCTGGATGTGTAGACACCAGGAAGTCTACTTTTGGCTATTTGTTCCTTCTAGCCGGAGGGGCAATTTCATGGAAGAGTGCGAAGTAGTCTGTTATTGCTACATCCACTATGGAAGCTGAATTCATAGCTTGTTATGAAGCTACGAATCATGGTTTATGGCTGCGGAATTTTATTTATGGACTTGGAATTGTCGACACTATCGCCAAGCCGCTGAAAATTTACTGTGATAATTCCGCAGCGGTATTCTTCTCTAAGAATGACAAGTATTCGAAGGGTGCTAAGCATATGGAGGTGAAATACTTTGTCGTTAAGGAAGAAGTTCAGAAACAAAGGGTGTCGATCGAGCATATTAGCACACAGCTTATGATTGCTGATCCATTAACAAAAGGATTGCCTCTTAAGATATTTACTGAATATGTCGAAAGGATGGGGATTATAGGACGTCATGACTAAAGTTATTTTATGTTTCATGGATTGACACTTTGAGCTCATTTATTTTGTTTCTGAAATAAAGTTATGAATCTTGTTTTATTTATTATGATCAGTATATATACATTATGCATTATGTGAACAGAACAAGATTTTTGTCTTTACTGAAGACATTATTGTTGGACCATTATGACTACCTTGTTATGTGTCGTATTGAGCATGAGACTGGTTTTGTGGTACATGGAAGGGACTATGTCGATAAATTGATATAGAACCGCCATGATCCTAATCTAGCTTTCATACTTGATTATGACTTTATGGTGAACCAAATATTATGGATTTATTTTATGATGTGCACACTTATGTATATTATTAGATCTTGTGATATATAATGACACATGGACCAAGTGGGAGAATGTAAGCCCAATTCCCGTATGTGACTAGGGAATAATTGTGGCCCAAGTGTAATTATCATTTAATGGTTTAATATATAAGGTAAGTCATATATTGGTTAGGTTAATGAAAAAGGTAATTTCCTATTATACCCTGATGGTGGGTCTATATAAAGAAACCCTAGGATTGGTCATCTCTCAACCCATTACGCAGAATTTCTTAGCCATCACAGAAATCTCTAAACCTAAAACCTAAAGGGGTCAAGAGGGAGAAACTCAATTCCGGTGATTACTACTCCAGCGCCGCCGCCGCTCTCGCCATGGATCGAGGTAGGTTTCCTTGATCTATTACCGATTCGTGAAATCATCTAATTCTAAGATCCATGCTATTATGATTTATGTTTACAGTTTTAGTATAAGATGCTTTGAATCGTATTAAAAATGATTTGTCTCTTTGTCGACATCATGATATAGTAGGTGCGTTTAATATTATAATTGAAAATCTACATGTAAAATATTCGGTATTATAATGCTGGATGTATGGGGCGGGTATTACCCATGGGTACCCGAAACCCATGGGTATGGCGATGGGTTTGCAAAATCTTCCCCGCATGGGCATGAGGCGGGTATGGGTATAGATATTTAAAAGCGGGGTGATAGTTTAGGCAAACCCGCCCCAATGCCATCCCTAAATGCAAGGGTAAATTAAACGAAGAAATTAACCTTTTTTGTGTACTTGAGCTGAGAGATATCGTCACTTGTGATGAACTCTCCAACAGCCTTGTTCTTGCGTAAGGTCGTGTTCTCCTCCTATATAAGCGTACAAATACCAAACCATAAGCGAATTTTGTCACGCTCTGATATTCAAAGTTCAAACTTTGGGCAACATATATAGATGATTTCGAGATTATACGTATACGTACCCTTAGTTTCTTGAGAACGTCAGGGTACAAGGCAAGGTAATAAATAGACCACATGATAGAAAGGGAAGTGGACTCGTAACCCCCAATCACATGGTTCACGATATTGTCCAGCACTTCCTTTTCTCATCAACCCGTCCATTAAGTCGTCTGTTCTGGACAAATCATACCTAGCGATATATGGGGAATGTAAGTTAGAAGATATTATATAAATAATAGATATGCAACCTGAAGCGCGTAGTGATATGCAGTTCCAGGAATCTTGAGAGGTTGAGCTCTAACCCCTTTCAATATACCCTTGAATAGTTTCTCGATGGCGTCTAATTCTGGCCCCGGCTCCAAACTTGCAAACAATCTTCCAATGTTTTCAAATGTCACCCGCGAATTCGGATACAGAAGTTACTTCGAAAACAAATATTAGCGTCTAATTAACACGCAAGTAACTAGCAGGAGTGTGCAATGGTTCGGTCCAGTCCGGACAAAATAAAACTCATGAGAACCGCGATCCATTAGTGAAAGATATCTTAGGATCAAGGATCAGACCATCAATGCATTCAGTCCGGTTCAATCCGATCCAAATATCAGTTCGGTCCATCATTTTTCAAATAATTATAAGATTCAAATGGATCAAGAATCGAACCGCATTATACTCATTCCGGTCCAAACTTTAGTTTGGTCCTGTACGGTCTGATACAGACCGGACCATCCCACACCCTATACTAGGGCTGGGCATGTGGGCGGATCATCCGTGGGTTTGGGCCGACCCACCCGCATTTGACCCGAATTTTGTTAAGTGGGTGGGTCTATGGGTGGGTGATGGGTTGCGCTGGGAGCCATCCACCGGGTGGTGGGTGGGTTGTGGGTGCGTGCGCGGGTGACCCGCTCAACCCAACAACAAAAAGATCAAAGTCGTCGGCGCTAGAGAGGAGAGAGTGGAGACGTTAGACATAAACTAGGACCGCTCCCGGAGTTTGAACCTCAAAGCCAACCTTCCAAATAGCGATCCCCTCTTCTTCTCATTATTTTTTCCTCTAATTCTTGTGCCTAGATCACTGCTCTTTCCTTTGTGGAATTATTTTTCTTAGTTCCTTGTATCTGATAATCATCTCAATCTGTAGAAAACTCTTTCATAATAGAATTTCTATCCATTTTAAGAAATATTCGACATTTTTCATCCTATTTCATTTTCTTGTTTCCCCAGATAACTCTTTTCGCCTATTATCATGTCAAGTTGACTCCTTTATATTATATACATTGTGATGTGGGTGAACCCACAAACCCACCCAAATCATCCACCATCCGCCCGACCCAACCCGAAACTAAAAGTGGGTGGGTGGTGGGTTAAAAATTGTCAATCCGTTTAAGCGCGGGTGGGTGCATTTTATGGTCAAAATCCACCCGACCCACCCAATGCCCACCCCTACCCTATACGCCTATTTGAACCCGGATCAGTACAACTGATCTTTCGTTCCCTTAATTTTTTTTTCTTCCTTCATGCGATTCATGTTACCTTCTTGACTTGTTTGTAAGCGTTGACTCTGCCAGTCTGGGCCCAGGATTGCAATTCAGCAACTATGTTGGGCTGGACGAGGGATGCGATTCGTCGAAGAGCTTCGGGCTGGTTGATAGCATTGGTGAGGAAGCTTCGGAGCCTGGTGTGGCTTGGCCCATATACTGCCACGAGGGAAGTTGGGCCAAGAAGTTCCACACTGGGCCACCCGACGATAAATTCGTCGTCTTTCTGGTACACGTACTTGCTCACCGCCGGCGCAAATGCTATGATCGTCGGTCGGCCGAACAAGTGGCTTCTGAATAAACCTGCTCCATCGCCATACCTGTCTCCATATAATAACTTACGTAAGGGATCAAACTCACCATTCATATATGTTTACACTACAAAAATAATCGTGTACCACATTGATTATTTACAAGACATTAACTGTCTTTATAAGGCCAGATCAACAATAACAATTAATGTTATTTAAACTGGGCCTACGATGCTAGATTTTTAAACCCAAATGATTAGGCCTGACATGACGCATGAGAATAAACTAAGTCTGGTGCCTCATCGCGACAAGCCTCCTCGCGTAAAGCCTCCTCGCGTCAAGTTGGTAGACCGCCTTGTCGTGACAAACCGCCTTGTCTAAACCACATCGCGAGTCTACAAGATATGTGGGGAGAAGGACACAAAATAAACTAAGTTCAAGCGCCAAGACTTCTCGTGTCAGGCCACTTCGCGAGTCCGCCAGGCCACCTGATCGCAAGTCCGCCAAGCCTCTACTAAGTCTAAGCGCCAAGCCTCCTCGCGTAGAGTTTGGTAGACCGCCTCGTCGCGACAAGCCTCGTCGCGCCAAGTTTGGTAAACCACCTCGTAGCATTGTCATCATGTTTGACAAACCGCCTTGTCGCGAGATCTGGAATAGCCATGGTAAAGGAAAGGGCAAGTAACAAGACGTCAGTTCCAAAAGGGAGAGCCGACGGTTTGATTGAGAAACTGTCAATTACTCCACGTTCAAGGATACGTCAGCCACGTCCGGGAAAGAAGGGAAGCGGTTCTTTTTGCAAGTTACTCTCCAGACAGTTTTCTACGACGGTTATCACCTCAAGCCTATAAATAGGAGGAAGAGTTGTCAGAGAAGGGGTCGCCAAATTCACACCAGACAACACTATGTCAAATTTTATCCCTTTATCCTTTCCTCTGCAATTTTAACCGTAGTCGTAGATCTGGAGCTCTCACTGAACCTCCATAGGAGTAGGAGTAACTTAATGTAGATCTGTCTCAAGAGTCGTGTAAACATCGATCACCCTCGTTCGAACTGTGTTTGAAGAGGTGTGAACCGTGTCTTAGTGATCGTTGTCCAAAGAAGTCAAGGTGCAATCAATATCAATTCAACGCAAGTTTTCTCGCCGGAGAACAAATTTGGCACACCTGGTGGGACACTTGTGGTCGATTCAATGGCTCCGATGCGGAGGAACCATGAAGGTGAAGTTCCGGCTGGATTCGTGGAGGGGCAGGTTGCCAACATCGAGCATGGCCAAGCGTCCGACGCGGTGACCGGAGGAAACGGTGGAGCAGAGATCTTGATGGCGACCGCGCCTGGTGGAGATCTCGGCGAAGCAGTGGGGGCCCTTCGTCAGATGATGGAGGAGAACCGTAAGATGGTGGCAGAGAACCGTCAAGCTACAGAAGAGAACCGCAAGATGGTGGCTGACAACCTTCGAGCCACAGAGGAGAACCGCCAAATGCTGGTGGAGAACCGCCGCATGATGGAGGAGACTCGGGCCAGTACACATCAGGTAAATTCTCAAATGGACTGTCTCAATTCTCGCATTGATAGACGTTTCAGTCAATTATTTGAGGTGGTTAACAAAAACACAAATGAGTTGGATCAGTTTCGACAAACTCTAACTAGACCAGTAGGGCAGTCAAGAGCTTTGCCATTAGATGGCACAGGCCTAACGCCTACTAATAATGTTCTTTCTCCTGCCGGTGGTCGGAATGGCCAACCACGGCAAGAGAACTTGTCGCCTCAAACGGCAAGCCAACCACCTCCACGTCGAGTAGGTGATGTCGAGATTCCTGCTACAACTCAAGTGGGGGAATCGTCACAGGCACGCGTGGGAGTTGAAGTGGTACCCCCGCGTGGTGAGAACCTCGCCACCATGTTCAACACTCGAGTTGAGCAGCCACCCGTGCAAGTGGGTGCTCGTCCCTCTATCCCGGAGGCAAGACCCTACGTAGCTCCGTTGAATTTGGGGGTAGGAGGAGGCCTAGGTGGTAACATGGATCAAATCCCACCTCGAGGCTACCCAACTCCAACGCCACCCCATTTCAATGGGCATGGCATGGACCCCATTGGTTTTGCACCGTATGGGGGGCAACAAGGGGGGCATGAGGCCAACACTCTTAGAGATCAGGTGGCTCAACTCCTCACGGAGCAGTTTGGCATGGGAGTAAGACCTGCCATGCCACCTGTATACCGTAAGCCGTACCCAGAATGGGTAGATAGACTTTACCCATTTCCAAGGGGATTCAGAGTTCCCGAGTTTGCCACATTCACAGGGACTGGAGATCAGTCCACTGTAGAGCACGTTGGACGTTTCACTGTCCAATGTGGCGATGTAGGAGATTTTGTTAAGTTAAGACTGTTTGGAAACTCGTTGACAGGACCAGCTTTTGCTTGGTATGTCAACTTGCCGTCTAACTCCATCCAGACTTGGCAACAGATGGAACAAGTCTTCCACGCTCAGTTTTACAGATCTGAGCCCGAGGTGTCCATGGCTGACTTGGCACGTATGCGCCAACAACCAGGGGAATCGGTTGAGCATTTCTTAACTAACTTCAAGAATGCCCGTAACCGTTGCTTTGTCAATTTGACGGAGAGGGAGTTCGTCAAGTTGGCACAAGGGGGCTTGAGTTTTGAACTAAGAAAGAAATTCCAAGATAGAGAGTTCTCTGACTTGTTTCAACTCATGTCTTGTGCCATGAGGTATGAGTCTCTCCTACATGAAGAAGAGAATCGTAGGAGTGCCTCAAGAGGATCCTACTTCCCAAACCTAGACCACACTATCAATCATGTTGGCCACGAGGCTAATGAGGTCGAGGTGGACTTGGCTGAGATAATTCCAGGGAAGCCATACGTGTGTGCCTCCTTGGCTAAAGTTGAAGATGGGCTGCAAGGGGGGAAACCCAATCGTGCTACCATTCAACCAAGGAAGTACTCCTTTGATGTCTTGAAGGCAGACTTGATTTTTGACCAACTCTATAAGGATGGTCAAGTCAAGTTGACAGGGGGGAATGTCTTTCCCTCACCTGAGAAATTAAAAGGGAAAAAGTATTGTAAGTGGCATAATAGCATGTCACATGCCACTGATTCTTGTGTGGTGTTCTGTAATGTCTTGCAGGATGCCATTGAAAAGGGACGTATCAAGTTCCCTGAAGCAAAGAAGGATGCCATGTTGGTGGACATTGATCCGTTCCCCAAGGTGCTTGGCATCAACATGGTCAACCTAGACTTCTCCAAAGTCAAGTTACCACGCTTCAAGCTGGTGTTGGATACAACACCGCCTCGAAGGAGACCCAACGTGGTTTTCAACCAAGGAAGCTCGTCATGTACCAAGCAGGCCACCCTGGCCGCAATGATGACTGATGAAGTTGAGAAGTTGTGTGCTCATTGCAAGAAGAGTTTTAAGGTTGACCAAGAGAAGTCGAGATGTCCATCTGGGGGGCAGGTGGTTTCCAAGAAGCCACATCAACCCAAAGCCTCACATGTTTGTGATAAACATGATAATATGGCTAAGTATGGACAAGAAAGCATGCCACCAATCACAAACAGTGGACATGGGGGCAAGTCCAACAAGGAAAGACGCGGAAAAGGCAGAAAGAGTTGTCACAGTCTCGCAAATTTGGCTAAGTCTGGACAAGGAAGCTACACGAGTGGTTGTCAACTTGTCAAGCCTAGACCTGGTCCCCAACATCGTGAGGAGATTAAGCATTTATCAAGTGGGAGGAAATCATGGCAGAAGAATAATCATGATAGCCTTGACATGTCAAGTAAGGTGGCCCAAGCAAAGAAGCATGAGGCCCCATGCAAGGCCACCAAAACTAGACAGGCTCACTATGTACCACCCATTAGTAAGCTAGAAAATTCAAAGTTAATGTATGAAGATTCATCTCCCATGGAGGAAAAGAGTCATGTGGTCTATGGATGGCATGTCTGGTTTGATCCATGGACTTGGCAATGGGTGTACACCTTTGGTACATTGATTGTTGCCAAAGGCTATGGAGAGCAGTGACATTTGTCACTTCTTGCCATATAAAATAAATAAATTTATATAATGTACTTACTATATATTAGTTATAAATAAAAATATTGTAGCCAACCATGGCTAAAAGAAAAGATAGAAGGAAAATATCAAAGTGAAAATCTTGAGTCGGAGTTGATAGACTTCGACATGAAGATCTTGCCACCAAGTCATTGTGATGGCTTGACATGACGAGCCATACATCAGGCCATGCGATGCCATGCCATGTTATCTTGTCGAGTAGCCACGACCTGGGGGAGCATGATGGCTTGAAAGTGGTAGTAGAGGAGTGGTGACCATAATGTCTCTACCAAAATAAAAATGAACATTATTTTTCTAAGACAGAAAAGTAGACGGCTTGACTTTTCGCGAGGGAGCTGTCTAGCCTTGTGACGAGGTGGGATGAGCTAATCTATGCCAAAATAGGTGCGAACAATTATAAGTTATTCTCTCAACCATGTGGCTAAGTACGAGATGTCAATGAGGGTGTAGGTGATAAAGTGATGTTGGTGTCTCGTTGAATGCATTAGGTGGCTTGACCATTAAAAGCCAAAATTTGGCTAAGGCATGGAACAAGTTTTGACGTCAAGTTCCATCTCGCCATGTTGGCTTCACGTGAAAAACCCAAATTTGGCTAAGGCATGAGACAAGCCTTGACGGCGAGTTCCATCCGGCCATGTTGGCTTGATAATTAAAAGCCAAAAATTTGGCTAAGGCATGAGACAAGTTTTGACGTCGAGTTCCATCCTACAGTGTTGGCTTGACGTGAAAGCCAAATTTTGGCTAAGGACGAACTAGGTGGTTGAGTAGACACTAGCCAGCCTGTTACTTTCGCTAGCATGGTGGTGTTCAACTACTTAGTCCATAATTCTTATGCACTAAGTAGTTGGGGGGCATTTGTTTACACTACAAAAATAATCGTGTACCACATTGATTATTTACAAGACATTAACTGTCTTTATAAGGCCAGATCAACAATAACAATTAATGTTATTT